TATTATTAGAAGGTTCGAAACTGCTTTATTGTGCAGTGTATAGTAGTCATGTTCGTGCACGTATTTTAAGGCATGCTTTTGGAATGACTCAGCACACATAAACACGACCGCAATTGGCGAAATAAATTACAACAAGGTCTAGCTACGCAATGCATGACGTTCCAAATGTTGATACAGCTGTTTGCACAGTCCATGATCTAACCTCCACAAACTGAGGTGTCTTGTGTTTGATTAGTACTGATTAAATACGGATGAACAATTTGTGAAGAATGTGTATCATGATCATTCATTGGGCTGATGACAAGTGTCACTTGAGCAAACGTCAAGAAAGTATGGTGGTCTAGTGCATATTCTCCAGAAAATATAAGTAAAAAGTGAAGAAAAGCCCAACTCGCATCATGAAACACATTAGAGTAAAGTTTAATTAATTTAATTTAGAGGTCAAAGGTTACCAGCATGTGAGTGAAATTTTCGACTGACTCGCTCCGTGGTCTCCATGATTTTTTAAATGAAACACGGGATGGTATTCACATTGAAGTAGTTTGGGCGATTCGTAAAACCATAATAATCAATCTGAAGTAATTTTTGGAAAGCCAATATGCCTCTCAAGCCTTCAAAATCCAAATAGCCATATAACCGCGCCAGCCGACCAGCCCGCAAAATTTTGTGGACCACGTGAGCAGGATTCTGGAATAGAGGGGGGGGCAGGGAAAAATGTGAAGCAGCGAACATGGTTGACGACACTGGCGTTCCTAAGGAGTTCTCTAAGTCGTTTGGAAAAGAAAAATTAAAAGAAAACCTAAAGAAAAACAACACTCGATTACTGTGAGATTAGAAACAATGGAGCAAAAACAGACTGCTTTTTAGCGGACTCTGAACGAAACAACCGAAGGAATGGCAGTATTGCATAATAGCCACGAGGTAGTTGACGGTAAGCTGGCGGAGTTTGAAAACAAAATCAGTATATTGGAACCGAAACTGCGAGAAAGATGCTCTTCGGCTTACGTGATACTCGAGATAATTTAACCTAAGATTCGGTGGCATACAAGCGAAACCGGGAGAGAACTGTATTGAAATAGTTACCAACAGACTCAAGGATAAACTAGGTTTCGACGAAGCGTCCGCCATGATTGAAAACGCCCATTCTATAGTGCCAAATGTCCGCCGGGATACTGCAAGACCCCCGTCTCACATTATCGTCAAATTCATGTAGTGGACAGAAAGATTCATGGTGCCATGAAAAGCAAAAAATGTGTTTATGAATGGCGACATTTTATCACTGAAGATTATGCCCAGGCTAACTACAAGCGTAAATGCGAGCTACGCCATGTCATGCAGAATCTTTTAGTCAAGAGAAACGGCTACGCTTTACTAATGGCAAATTGTTTATAGATGGTCTTGCATCGTTACTCGTTACTTTCAATTGGTGGATGAGGATGTGCATAAAAATTATGGGCATAAACAATGATCGATCTCACCTGAGGTAACTACGAAAGATTCAAATTCAACTACTGAATGAATGAGTTTATATTATTATGTTTCTACAAACTATTCATTATGTGTTTTGATTTCACGATGCGGGGGTGGTATCCTCGTGCATTCAATTTTCGCAACTTTGTTTTCTGGGGAGGTGGGGGAGTTTTTAGTCAATTTTGTTTCACCTGTTTTAATTGTTTTTAAGGAAAAAGTCACTTTATATTACCTAATTAGTACTGCTAAAGAAAACACGAGCCAGCCATAATGGTGTCATCAGAACTTAAATTTATTTCTCTGAATGTTAGGGGGTTAGGTCGGTGTAAAAAACGGAAAAAAATGTTCAGCTGGATCAGAGCTCAACGGCCAAGTATTGTGTTATTACAAGAAACCCATAGCAATGCCCAGGTAGTTAAATATTGGTCTAGACAGTGTAGGGGTAAAATGTTTTTCAGTCACCGAGCTTCCAATAGTAAGGGGATGTTGAAAATCTTTGTTATTAACAAGACTAGTTCTGATCCGGAGGGAAGGTTTTTAATTCATGATGCTAATTTGTAGGGGAGGCATTTCCTAATTATCAATTCATATGCACCAAATGAAGAAAAAGAATATGTCAGGTTTCTTTAAAATATTCTGGGAGTGATTGGGGAAAACATGTCAGATCCGGATTCCCATAACCTTGTTCTAGACCCAGCGAAAGATAGAAAAGGGAGCAATCTCCAGCCATGGTACAGGGAGCCTTTAATGTTTCAGATTTTTTTTAGATGAAACTGATTAGGTGCATATATGGAGAATAATGCACTCAGAAAAAAAGTAGTTTTACGTGGAGAAGGTTGAATCCAGAACTGACACGAAGCAGACTTGACTATTTTCTTATAAGCCAGTCACTTGTTAATATAACAGAAAAATCAAATATTATTCCATGTGTACACTTCGATCACTCTGCGGTCACTACCAGCATCAAATATGATGAAACTGTCCATGGTCTCTCATATTGGAAATTGAACACCAGCTTATTTCGTGAACCAGAGCTTATTGAGGAGAAAGTGAAGATATGGGGCCCACGTATCATTTGGGACTTGTTAAAGTGTTTGTATTAAGAGAACCTCTATCAAGTTTAGTAAGGGAACAAATCGAAATGACAAAGAGAAAAAACTTGGAGAAGCATTTGAAAGTGTTCAAATGATCAAATGTGTAGTAATCCAACAAACGAAATTACCCATAACTACGAGCAAACAAAACAATCTCTTCAAGAGAAATACAATGAAATTGCAGAGGGTCACATGGTTAAGGGCTAATTGGCAGGAATGGGGTGAGAAAAACACAAAATACCTTTTACAATTAGCAAAAATGAATACAAAGAGATTGCAAATTAATAAACTGTTTGGATCTCCAGGGGAGATTAATAAAGAAATAAAAAGCTTCTATGAAAATCTATACAAATTGAATTTAAATGATGCATTAACGCGAGATGACCCTTTTTTCGATAACCCCGAGATTCCAAAAGTCACTGATGACCAGGCTAATATATGTGAAGGACCCATATCTGCTGAAGAAGCTCATGAAATTCTTAAATCATTTGTGTCCAACAAAAAATGTAATGATGGGCTGCTTCCTGAATTTTATAAGAAATGTTGGCCTTTGATTCATAATCACGTGATAGGAGCACTGAATACAGCTTTTCAAAAGGGCCTGCTGTCTACCTCTCAATAGGTAGGTACATTAAAAATTGGCGCCCAATATCACTCTTAATCACTGACTATAATATTGCCACCAAATGCTTAGTAAAATGGCTCGAGAAAGTAATTCCTGTTTTGACACTCAATTTGTTTTTGATAAAAATAGATTTATTGGAGATGTGAGATTGGAAAATATAATGGAGTATACATGGGGGAGGAAAATATCCCAGGTCTATTTAGTGACAGTCGATTTCGATACTATTGAGTGGCCTATTTTTAAAGTGTTGGATTTTGGTCCGATCCTTAGACAGTGGGTAAAAGTGTTTTACTTGGACATTTCGAGATGTGTAATGAACAAAGGTGCCAGCACAGGTTATTTCTCACTGGGACGCGGAGTTCGACAAGGGGACCCTATACCTCCTATGCTGTTCATCCTGGCGGTTGAGATCTTCCTCTGTTCTCTACGCTCTGGTCAGCATATTGAAGGGACTTCTGTACTAAGCTATGATTCTATAAAGAGTGTGTCGTTTGCTGATGATCTGACCTGTTTCCTCGGTGATCTCCCATCAAGTAAAAAACTTCAAAACTCAACGAATTGGAAATGGTTCTTGTCATTAGCAGGGAGTTTGGAATCACTTTTACGAACTTCAAGCAATTTTAAACTCAATGTTGTACCTACAAAGGTAAATGGCTTTCAAACCTACCTGAGGAACAACATTTTCTTAATCAAAGTATATGGGTTTTTAGTGTGTATTTCAATTTTCCAGTATGTCGATGACCTGTTCAGTGAGGAGGAACAGTTGCTTAATTGGAATAAACTGAGGGAGAACCTCGCAATTGCTTTTTGAAACGGTACGGTGTTTTGTCAGGACTGCCAGCTAAGTGGAAACATGATATTGACATGTCACAATTTAGTATTTTAAATCAAGATAATATGTTGGGTATTTAATTTATTGGAGCACACTATCATCTAGATCAGTGTAGTGCTAAGTTGGTGGTTTCAGGTAAAGTAAATCATTACTTCATTTCACCGTTTTGTTAAACCCCTGAATACCTTTACAAATGAATGGGAAAGCATATATTAATCGCCATTTAAACTTTCAGTAGTAAATTGCACACGATATCCTGTCTACTAACACGGTTGTATACAAAATGACACCACCAAAAGTTTTAACGACGTTGGTGCATTCTTCATACGTTATGTATACAGAGTGTAAATTTTTAGATTTTCTAATTAAATTAAATTTTTTAAGTAGTTGTCTATATCATTTTCTAATCTTGGTTGCCAAGAGGTACAAAAGACGATGTAAAAAATGTTTTTGGGAGATTTCAAAATTTTGCTCAGGGCATTCTGAACACTGAATTTTATTTTGCAAATAAAACCAGGAAGCTTGGGAAACACATCTAGAAATGGGGAAAATTATTAGCAGTTTTGACTACATTCAAAGTTATTTCATTTTTTTGTAAATGAGCAGTTTTGATGAATATTGATCTTGTATTTTGAGCAGTACCAGAGGTGTATTTTACTTGAAGTGAAATAAATAAATAAATAAATAAATAAATAAATAAATAAATAAATAAATAAATAAATAAATACAGTTAATTTAAATTCTACAATTTAGAAGTGGTATGGAAAAGACATGCCCCTCTATGTTGTGTTTGTTATAATGAAAAACCTGGAAGACTAGAGATGCACGCAATTGTTGTTATCACATTGATAAAGAAACATAAACATGTTACAAAAAAAGATCACAATCTAGAATACTCAATCAATGCATTTGACGAACACTGTAATCCAAAGAAGAATGAAATCTTTGAGCATTACAAATTCTTTACTCAAAACAAAATCCAAATGAATACGGTGGAAAATATATCACTGATTTGAAGATTGTTGAAGAAGTTGACGCCAACCCATATAACATGAACATGTACAACTGTCAGTAAACACACCAAGTAATCCAAGTAATCCAAGTAATCCATTCTCTAGGAATGGGAAATAATTTTCCTTTCAATTAGTAAGAAATTAGTAAAAAACGAAATCAAACTGGTTAATACAACAATGTCCGAAGAATGTTCAAATTGTAAATTACGCTCTATGGGTAGAAAATCATCCTAATCTGAAAGAGTTGGTGATTCAGTTGTTACTTGTCTGAGAATATGCGTCTCCTACTGTCCCAGGAATGCGACTAGAGTCACCTTAAGGTAGTGTACCTTAGCACGCATACAGCGTAAATTTATGTAGAATGCCAAACATGCAAATGAGATACATACAGCAATAACCAAAGATGGGGTATTTGAGCAATGTATGCAATGTAATGCTGACCTGAGGTAAATGCCAGTTCCTCAATGGGTGGTAGGGGTACCAATTTTCTTTGTGATGTTTGGCAACTTGGAGCGGTCTTTAGCGAGAGTATTGTCAAAGTCTAATGTTGGGTAGCTCAGCTTTCCATGGAGATGTGAAGGTTCTACTGCCGGTATTGTGTTTGCTGTTGTTGTGAGGAAAGATTTCATCGTTTGCATATTCAGAATATGAGAGGTGGATGCAGTCTTATTTTCAGCACAGTGGAGCAAAGTGGCACTGGCCATTTTGAGTGTAGTTCACACCCAATGTCGATCAGGTATAGATCACAGGGTTCAAGATATCTACTTGATTTTCTTGCATAGGTAAGCTCTTATCTGGTGTTGTGACTTTGAAGTAGTATCTGGGAGTTGCCAAAAATTATGGCTGTTGGTTTAGGTACAAGACGTAATACTACCCAGGAATGTAACCGTGCCAGTCTTTGAAAACGGTATATGAACAGAATGGATATGAGGTCTCATAAATTGTGAATTTTTTTATCACGATGAATGCTGTGGTCTTCAAGGAAATAGCCAAGTAATCAGTTTGATTGATTTATCTTGGTGTACTAGTTAACCAGGATCGAGTTGTCATTACCGAGACAGTGTGTGGTGCCACAGAGTGGAATTTTAAGCTGTATATAATTTAAAAGCTGTAAAATGCAACACACTCAGGTTCTATAGTAGTAAGAAACGTCATCATGATTAATTTGGAAGGCATTGTCTGATAACGGGTCAGATCCTACATCATGCAGTTTATCCCGCATCTCAAGCTCAAGATGTGAAAACAATAAAGCATTTAAATTTCTCAATTCAAAATTGGTCTCATTAATAGTCCTAGTGGCATTATTCATATATTTATCAAGTGAAGCAATGCTGTCTATATTTTTCTTTTTTCACATTTCGCTAAAGATTTTCTAAATGAGACATCAAAGGAAAGTAAAACTAGTGATGAACAAGTTAATTTCTGACCAAAATAAGAAACAAATTAAAAGCAACATAGATGACTTCATTGGTGCTATGGATAAAAGGCTTGAAGAGATTGCCCTGCCAATTCAAATTAGTACTCCAATGCAGTCACCTCCAAATGTGAGAAGTCATACCCTGCCAGCATATGTCCAGTCATTTGTAACTGTGACATACGGTGTCCTGCCAGCATATGTTGTCGATAAGCCGCAAACAACGGTTAGTAATAATGTTTCTGGAGACAAAAAAGGGTTGCTGTGACAAATCCCCACTTTATAAATGACAATGACTCTCTGTTGATGATGAACACATAAAACCATGTTACTCAGAGAGAAAAGGCACACCAAGTTGCATAATAATATATTCACGGAAACAGCAGAAATTCATTTTGAAAAAAGTGGAAAATTTAAATACATCACAGGAAAGATTTACAAAAATTATAAATGTCAATGTATGTTCTAGTCATGGTAGATCATAAATAAAAAAAAGACATTGTTTTATCAACCACTGTATGTAAACAGAGATATAACCGAAACATAGGGAAATATAACGTCATTTGTATGTTATGAGAACACACATGTACATGTCAAGTTTGAATGTAATCAGTCCAGGCATAAGATACAGGTACGGACGTACGAGCGAATACAGAGGTCCGAACGGGGACTATTTAAAACAAGTTGTGTGAAAATATTACCAAAATATCTGGAAACTAATATCAGCAAAAACATGCTGCAACTGGTCCTGACAAAATTTCCCCATCAGGAAAAAAAATGACCCGGTCGTACAGAGGTATGGTACACAAATATGTATAACAACCCTGGCCCATGTTCTATTATTCAAATCATCCACTTAATATTCTTTACCAGTGCTTTAACTTTGTGTGTCAATGTTCCGGGTTTCCACTTCCCGACACAAATTCTACACTAGATTTCACTTCAACAATTCGTGGTCTTTCAATTTAAAATGTAATCGTTTTTCAATACCGGCAACTGAATGCTAACTGAATTTAGTGTTGGGATAAGCATCACGGTGTACTAAACTCTGCTTACTTCTTGGCTGTAATTTTCCTTTCGACATCTGAAGCAATATAGTTGATCTAACGACGATGACAGATTGGATTTCCGTTTGTGAAAAGCCCGCCATATCACGATGTTCTCCGCGCTGTTACATCATGGTCAAAGCGATTACGAATTTACTTCAGGTTGGTATTCCGTCCACACAACAACAACTCGATATTTTCGCCATAACATCACTAGAGTGCCAGCGGTAGATGTTCAATATAATTAGGAACAGTAACTCAAGCATCGACAGTATTTGGTATAGCCATGATCTACGCCGGGTCATTCTTGGTTAACGTTGAAGATAATTCCGATTCGTCCTCAATGTAGGACTGGCGACCCAGAACGCGTCGCCGTCTTAAAGCGGGAGAGTCGTCACTTGTACAATACGGTACATCAAGTTCGGATAATTCTCAGGACACTTGATTAGCCTATCATGTAATCATGTTTAGATCTTGTTAATTTATCTCGGGAAATAATTCAAACAAGCGCCATGAATCGTTAACGGAACGTGAACGAGCTATTCTCCCAACTCTGTGATTGGGCTCAAGGAACACCCGCGACATGACTCTACAACACGAAACGCTGATATGTGGTGATCACCTCACATCAATAATATAATTTTACTGAACGCATCAAATATGATGCACGGGAGTTTTGGTGATGCAAACGTTTCATCCATGGCGTTTTATGGTTAAATACAATATTACTGCAAAAATATAGTTTCATAAACCAATAACTTGTGTGGCATATTTATTTCACTGTTACTAATTTGTACTGCCAGAACGATCTATATATCCATCTAAGAATAGTTTGTTCATACGGGAAGTATACTAGTATATTAACACGGTACTTAGTTTTTCATCTAATAACGACTCGCTCGTACGAACTTTTCCACTTCGCCGGTGAGGACATCTACATCATATTTACATATTTACAATTCATTGAAAACTTATTTTAAATACATCTTGAATGTATTCTTATATGGTAAAAGCTATTCTACACGCATATTAATTGCAATAATATGTGAAGCATACTGTCACAGTGTAAGGCCTGCTTATCGTTAATGAGAGGGCGCCCACAGAACTCACACTGGACAGGGGGTTCTTTCACTGCTAGAATGGGGTAGACAAGACAATAGTACTGGAAATGAAATACATATACACCAAATCGGGTTAAAGCTCCTGGCTTTAATACCTCTCAAAATGATTACAAGAAATAAAGCACAGAAAAATACAATGAATAAAGTCACTAAAATAGGGGATTGCATAGGGAAGTGTGCATTGGTGATAACTCACAGTTTCAGGATATAGAAAAGGACGATAGTCAATGGCTTCTGCAACACAACAATGAAGAAATACAAAGGTCGTGCCTGCAGAGGAACGCTGGTATTCTGGAGGGCACCGCTGAAAGCAGGAGACCACAGAGCAGTTCATACAAGTCTCACAGAATGATGGTTGTAGTTTGTATCACTTGTCACACAATAT